TAACAAACGTTGTCAGCGAATTGTAAGGGATTTAGAAACCTATTGTTTGGGGTGGGTAAGAGTGGTACAAACTTCGGATTCACATCAAATGCAATTTGTTTTGGTCTATACTCTTTCGCACTTTAGTATAGTTTAGCTTGTCTTGCAGCATACTGAGTAGATGTCGGATTGAACATTCTCACATGTATTTTAATATATCATGTTTTAGGCCATTAACAAAACAACTTAGTTTATGTTCATCTCACAATTGTAATCTGGTTAGAATATTTTCAAATTGTTCCAGATAATCAATTACAGTTCCTTTTTGTCTAAGTGACATGATTTATGACATTGGATCATCAAAAGAATTTCCAAATCTCTCTATAATTAACCAACTTCTCATAATCTTCCCACATCATTATGTCATTATCACATTTATCTTTTACCAAAGCATAATGCCATTAGAACTTTCGTATAAGCCGGAGTCTTATCGATTAGAAAAAACTGATCACAATTATACAACTATTCCTTCACATTGTCACCTGTGAATCTAGGAAATTCAAGTCTAGTGCTTCTGGTAGAAAAAATATCAGATTGAGTAGGGTTACCAGCTACTAAAGGTTGATTGTGATAGCTAGAACTTGATGTTTTTTTTTTGAATTACTATTGTTAAGTTTTCTATCATTTTTTTTCAAATTTCCAATTCTTCCATTCAGGTTTTTGAATTGATCGTCAGCTTCAGTGAACCTTTTATTGATTGCTTCATCAAGGTCTTTAACAGTAGGGGCCATTTTTTCCTGAAGAAGCTCACAGAACAAAAAAGCTTAGGAGTTTAACAATGGAGGCTATTACAGATTGCAAACTCCTAGGTCGAGCTCTGATACCAATGATGTAGAATGGACCTTATGTGTGATCGATTTTACAAACTAAATTAATTTGGATAGCTGGACGATAAGAACAACTAATCAAAATTGATTTAATGGAAGAAGAAGAATGAATGTAAGAGATAGAAGGGAAGAAGAACTGATATTTTGATTCGTGATATTTCTCTGTTTACAAGCTGACTTATTAATATACACTACCAAATTGAACTAACTAACAACCACTTTAAGCGTTTCTAACTGACTAGAAGTGCTACAACTAAAAATTGAAGGAAGTGATTTTTTATTTATAACATGACTATATACATACAAATATACAAGTGCAAAGAATTTTGAAAATGTTTACAAAATTTTTACGTACAATATATATTATGTACTTTAACTATAAAAATTGAAATGTCAGTTCTTGATACCACTCAAAATTTGACCTAAACTAGTTGGTAAAATATTGTTGTAGTAGTAGTATACTATAGTAGTACTCTGTATTATTTTATGCAACAAAATTATGGGGTAATTGCTTAGAGTGTGAATTAGTTAATTATCAGGAGTATTTACTTGATTTTTAATAATTAAATAATTTGGCTCTAATGATATCTTTTAATTCATTTGACTCTAGTAATCACTTGGCTAGCTAGGCATGTCTCACTGATATCTTTTGATATTGTTTTTCTTATTAGTGTTAATATGATAGTTGCACATTCTTGTTTAGTTTGTCTTGCAGCTCTCGCTTCTCATGGATCGAACTGTCAGTGACCGCGAGGATGAAGAAATACCTCAGACAATCAATAATGATCTTTTTACCACTGTCCTTCTTTAGGCCACCTTCCAGCTCTTCGTCTTGAGAGAATAGGCTGAAAAAATGATGGAGGTTGATTTTCTGCATAACATGCTCCGTAATTTGCAAGTGGATTAATCGTTTCTATACAACAATACATTATTGGTTGTATAACTAATTTATTTGTCTTTATTTATATCTATCAGGAGGAACCATGGAGCAACCGCCTGCTACAACTGAGATTGTGGAGCAATCACGGCCTAGTGTACAAGAGGAAGAAAATAAGACAAGTTAAAGTTATGTGATTGTGCAAATTAATGATGGACTCCCAACTCCTAAGGGAAAAAAGAAGATATGGCTAACAATACCACGTAAAGTTACCTACTTCTTTCTAGAATTGTTTGGAATTATCATTGCTATCATAGCAAATATGGCTGAAAACAAGTGGAAGAAGTATTTACTTGCATGTGTTGAAGGGGTCGGGTTTGTTTTGTCTGTCTCTTTGTGTTACTCTCAGTACTTTGCATTAGGTGCTACCAGTGAAGAGACTGCAGGCAGTTGTGGATCTATGCTTTGCTTTGAATAATGATTTTGTTGTACTATTAAGTCTTGCGGTGGTGAAAGGAGGGCAACTTAGTGAACTTACTTCCATTGGTTGCACTCTTCTCGGTATTTCCATTGTTTGCTTCGTGACTAAACAAGTGACTGCAATGGTTGCTCTGATATCGATCTACAACTTAAAAACAAAAAAGGTTATGGAGCTTATAGGGGTTTAATCAATCAATTATATTGGCACTCCACTTGTTTAATTTAGTTTTGTTCGTATGGGTTATATTAGGAAGTGTTTGGAACTGATTATGCTTCTGCTTCTTTTTTACAGCAGAAGTAAAATCAGAATCAATTTTTAGAAACTAGTCTCATCCAGCTTCTAAAAAAACTGATTCTAGGAGTAAATTAGGGTACCAAGAGTACTTCCACCCAAACACTCCAACTTTTGCTTCTTCTCCTTGAAGGAGCAGAAGCAGTTTAAACACCCCCTTAATTATTTTGGGCTAACGAGTTGAATTTATAATTTTTGAGCTTAGAACATCTCCAATGAAAGGGTGTAGTCTCTTACACACTCTTACAAATGGGTCCCATTTTTTATCTCACTATTTTTAAGTGTAGGACCCACTTATTTTCTAATTCATTTTCATTTATATATCAATTTTAATTCACTTTTCATCAACTTTACTTCTCGAATCCCGTATAAGGTCCATATAGGGGTGCAAATGAGCCAAGCCGTTCGCGAGCCGCTCGTGGATTGCTCGGAAAAAACTCGACTCGAGTTTGGCATATTCCAGCTCGGCTCGAGTTCGGTTCGACTCGAATACTTATCAAGCTCGGGTCAAACCTACTTATTTTCGGTTCGTGGCCCGCGAGTAGGTTCGCGAGCCTTGATATGTGGTGTATATATAGATATAATATGTATAATAATTATATATGTATAATATTTTTGGAATATTTATTCTAATTTAGGATTATTATATTTTTAATACTTGATATTATAATAGTAATAAATAAATATAATACAGAGTATTATTTATTATTATAACCATATGCAATAATTCAATAATATGTATTGAGTATTTATTTTTTAATAGCTCGTATACATAGAGGGTAAAAGCCAATGGAGATAGATACTCACGCAAGGGTGTGTGAGATGAGATGAGTTGACTGGGTTTTTATATGTATATTTTGACGCAGTCAACTTCAAAAAATGATTTGAATGCCTTCCCGATCGAATTTTGAGCTGAAATTTGGTATGGATAAACTAGACTTGATGAAGAATATGCTCAAAAAATTTCATCAAAAAATTCGATCGGAAAGTGCCCGAAATGCCCTCGGCCGGACGGCGGTTCCCGTCAGGCCGGCTGGACAGGAACAGGACTCTCTCTCTCTCTCTCTCTCTATATATATATATATATATATATATATATATAGAGAGAGAGAGAGAGAGAGAGAGAGATATTACCCAAAATGGGACTAAAAAAGTTTGGAAATTCCAAAATAGGACTTCCATGTTTTTATTCCCGAAATAGAACTAATTACTGTCATGTTTTGACAGTACCAGACTTCAAACATGTCAGTATTTTCCAAATTTAGCAGTAATTAGTCATATTTTGGGAATAAAAACATGACAGTCCTATTTTGGAATTTTCAAACTTTTTTAGTCTCATTTCGGGAACTTTCCCATGCATATACTACTTAAATATGATAAGTTCATCATTTTTTTCATTTTCATTTTCATTTACCTATGGTGGGATAATGGGGGTCGGATGTACGCAGTCTTACCCCTGTACTAAAGCACATAGAGACAATTTCCGGAGATATGATAAGTTCAAACAGACATATTTTTAATAAATACTAATTAATCACAAGGATACCAATTTCATTATCAACATTTATCACTACTAGAAAAAAGACTTATAGTGACTTTAATGGTGACACTTTCAGATATAATATTACTAGTGACATAAAAAATAGTAGTATCAAACCATGACACTTATGGGCCAGGTATGCATGAGCAAATCGATTTTTTTTTTGTCTACGCACCTCATTTTCCACATAATAAAATATCCTCTTCGACATCCTCTTGCAGTAGAATCGTCCAAGAGAATGAACCCTCACTCCAGATCGATCGATTGAGGCCGCCCGACCGCCTTACTCATTCCCTCGCCAGGTCTTCTATTTCTGTGATTGCTCGTCTCCTTCGTCGGTCACGCTTGTTCTCTTATGCTTGAACCTTCTAAAAAAACTGATTCTAGGCGTAAATTATGGTACCGGGAGTACTTCTTGTGAAATAATGGGAAAGAGGTACTCCAATAGGAGTCCTGACAGATATATTTATAATAGAAGAGTTGCCAAAATACAAAGTATTCCTAAATAGATATTAGGAATATTCCTAAATATCTATTAGGTAGATTCCTAATTATATTAGCCTATTACACCCCCTCAAACTGTGCGGGAGATACAACGCGCAGGTTGTCTTTTAAAAAAATGAAATTGCAAACTAAAAAAAAACTCTTAGTAAATATATCCGTGAGTGGAAGATTAGAAGGCACATCTTTGACAATAAGATCTCCATGAGAATATATGTCTGCAGCAGCAAGCGGCGAACTCAACAGCGCGCTTGAAGCAAGCACCGTGGTCAGCGACGCAGAGAAGGTGGGCTGCGCGGACATAGGCAGCAGCAGGCGGCGAACTCAACGGCACGCTAGAAGCAAGCACCGTGTTCAGCGACGCGAAGGAGGTGATCTGCGCCATATTAGCCGCGCTCATCTTCAAAGGATCGGAGACTACCGTAAATGTGGCGGCAGTCGACCCCGAGGCGGCGGCTATAATAAGGTTCATGGGAACCGAAAAAAGAAAAAAATTGTATCTACAAACCTAGAGCTCTTGATACCATGTGAAATAATGGGAAAGAGGTACTCCAATAGGAGTCCTGACAGATATATTTATAATAGAAGAGTTGCCAAAATACAAAGTATTCCTAAATAGATATTAGGAATATTCCTAAATATCTATTAGGTAGATTCCTAATTATATTAGCCTATTACTTCTGCACTTTCACCAAACACTCCAACTTCTGCTTTTTCTCCCGGCATGCCTTTGCCTTGGCCATTGCCACGATGACTTTGCCTTGACCATTCTTGACGCTCACAATGTGCCCAAGGACAGCCACGCCCCGTGTGGAAGAAGTATTTACTTGCTATTAAAAACAAGTGGAAGAAGTATTTACTTGATAGGTGATGCAACTCGGATTGGTGCAGTGGGTTGGTCAGTCGGAAGATGATGAAACTTGGATTGAGTGCAGCAGTTCCACCAACAGTTCCCTTACTTCAACCTTGGGGGCAAGGTTATTTTAGAGGGGGAGGAAATTGTTAGAGAACGGGAGGCAGTTGGGCCGATGCTCCAGGAGGGGGCAACTGGGCCACTACTTCAGGAGGATGGGCCTCACCCATTATTGGTATACCGTCGCCGCCAGCAGGCCTAGATGGGCCAGGTTAACTGCCGGGTTTTATTACTCTATTTCATTCAATTGTTATTTCTAATAAACTGTTGGGCCTAGATGGTCATATTTTATTATTAGGTTATTGGGCCTAGATGGCCATATTTTATTATTAGATTAAGGAGTATTTAAGGAGGTCTTGTAAACTATTATTGATTATCGAGAATAAATATTTTGGTTTGAGCCTAAGGTTGGGGAGACGTTAATATCGTCTGCTAGGGTTTTTCTGCTTCTATCAAATACCCATATTCTAACCAGGGATTTGCTGTGGGACATGTTTTATAATGCTAAAACAACAGCTGGAAGAACATTTGCTCAAGGAATTGTTGAATCTTCCTGTGGACATTCTAAAACCATTTGCTGGAACGAAAGGTCTCATCACACTTAATTCGTGGATATTGGTATGTTGTTCCTTCCCACCAACGATTTCCACTTCACTTTTTGGATATTGCACCATGACAAAAAAATCACTAATTTGATATTTTGATTTGTTCTCTTCTACAGTATTCACTAGGAAAAGATGGGACCAAGTACACACAATATAAAAGTGGTGCGGCTGACTCGAAATCAGATGTTGAACCATCAAGCTCTCAAGGTTCGGTAGGAAGGAAAAATACTACAGTTGTTGGAAGCCAGAATTTCCCATTGCCTGATGAGGAAAAGAATGATATTGCTGCCGCAGAAGCAGCTCGTACTGCTGCTCGTGCAGCCGCCGATGTTTGTCTAATTGTCTTTGTTATCTCCCTTTGGTACATTTATAAGCGATTACTGAATAAGTAATTAAATTAAACAATTGTTACTGACATCTGAAAGTGGCTATAAAGCCGTTTTAGCACCCAGTGGACTTAGAACCTTTGTATTGGAGCAGTTTGCTCTAGCGGCAATAGCAGGCGCAGGGCGCTAAAAATCTAAAATGCTATAGTGAGCACTTGCTTGGCTTTTCTATTCTCAAATTTGAGACAAGAGAAAGTGGTACAATTATTAATAAAAGTGGATTTATGTGGTTGATATTAAATTGATAAAGTAAGAAGAAAGTAAGAATGCTTTAGAACCATATAAATTTTACTAAATAAGGTATGTGACAATATTAGTGGGACAAATCCAAAAAGTAAAATGGGACAATTATAGCGGAACGGAAGGAATAGTAATTTCGGGAGTCAAATTAACTAATCATGAAAATCAAGTAAGTACTCCATATACCTAATTAATTCATACTCTAACCAATTACCCCACCTTTTAAAAAAGCAATTCCCCCAATTTTCTAGCATAAAATTCACACTACTACGGTACTAGTGTACTACGAATAGGGGTGGTTCGGTACGGTATACCGAATATTTTCTCTCATACCTTTGCCGTACCAAAACTTTCGGTATACAAAATTTATATACCGTTACCTTACCAAAGTTTCGGTATACGGCATTTTGGTATACCGAAGTTTCGGTACGGTAACGGCACGGTATCGGTAATTTACCATATACTAACAAAATACACTAAATCGGTGTTACTAACGACATATTTAATCCATTATTAAAATGTTCCAAAATACAATTAATAATTTATTGACGTCATATTCAATATTGAACAATAATTATTATTAGTATATTTAAGCAGCTCAACATGCCACATATTAAAAAGTAATACATTCTCCTAAAATAACGTGAATAATATAGATATAATTAAATCAATAATGATCTCTAACAAAAATAAATAAACTTTTTCAAACAATATGGATATAAAATCATTTATTCCTAATATGGTTGTGTATTTAGTCATTTTTATAATTAAAAAATTTGAATAAGACTTTCAGACAAAGTTGAATGTCTTGGCTCGCGGAATCCCTATGTAGATACACTCGTCACACTCGTCAGCAGCTCAGCCATTGCGACTCGCAAGCTCTTGGGACAAGATGGACTTCTTTCTATGCATTAATACATTACTCATTAATCATTAGGGTTAGTTTAATTTATTTGAATGTTACGTAGTAGAAGTCTAGAAGATTATAGTGAGTTTCGAAAATCGGGCCTTTATTTTTGTATTTTGATATTTGTAACCAACCTAAGTATTAAGTTTGGGCTTCAAAATTGTAATGGACTTTTACAATATTTTAGAACTTAAAGTAATTATTAGGTAGGGAGTCGGTACGGTATTATACCGGTATACCGCGGTATTTGAAAACATTTACCGTTACCGTACCGAAATAAATCGGTACGGTAAGATACCGTACCGAAAATGACGGTATACCAATATTCCGGTATGTTCCGATATTTTTCGGTACAGTAAGTTCGGTATACCGATTTTTCAGTATTTTTGCCCACCCCTAACTACGGAGTACCTTTTAGGGGTCCATAACTTCTTTAATTATTCTCCGTAAGGTCTAATTTTATATAGCAAAATAGTAACAGTTGGTGCATATATTTTTGACCTTTTAATTCGATAAAGCATAAACAGAGCTTTAATAAACAGAGCACCAAATGAATTACGAAACATCAAACATGTGCAATGAGTCACCACTCAACAGAAACCAAACTCCTGTCTCATTTTTCCTCTACACAATTTACAGAGCCTCTTCATGGTTCCCATGTAAATTGATACCCCTAAAATGGAAAAATTAATAATCCACAAACATGGGCATTAGGGGTGGGCATAAAAAACCGTAACCGCTTAACCGCGGTAAATAACCGAAAAACTGGAGTTTTTTTTGTTAACCATACCGTGTTTTTAAAGACTTGTGGTACGGTTAACCAACCGAAAGAATAAAGCGGTCACGGTACGGTTACAGTTTTAAAATTAAATACCGCCGGTTAACCGACAATCCAAAATTAAAAAATTAATTATTCCAAATTCATGTCACGGTCAGCTTTAATCAAAAGTGTTTTCTCCATTTGGTATATATAAATTGAAGTACCGATCGATGTTTATTTAATTGATTTACTGGAACATTAATACATGCAAGCCATTGGCCTGGAGGTTGGCAGTGCGTGAGATGCATATAGCGTAGCAACAACTAACCGACTACCTTTAACACATTCATACAATCATACGTGAGTCAGGTAGTGGTTATCTACAAGGATTAAATTATTAATTACCTACATGAATTGCAAAATGAATTAATAATTGAAAACAAACTTTAAGTCTATTAATTCCGTATTTCCGTATGTATACTATGCGCATGCACTAAGATGGAACCCATGTCGTTAGTACATGGTACTACGTATCTCTTAACGGTTTCCTAAGAGGCTAAGACGGTTTTTCGGTTAACCAATTAATGGTTAACCAATACCATGGTTAAATATTACTCGGTTAACCATTATTACGTTACGGTTAATGATATTATAAATATATAAACCGAAATCTCGGTTAACCGTAAATCGGTTAACCAAACTACGGTTAACCAACCATGCCCACCCCTTATTGGGCGTAATTAGATCACTGAGTCGGTATAAAGAATATTTTTAAAAAATTACACAAAATTTATTATACTAAAAATATAGGCTTTTCTAAAATTTGGGGTGGACCGGGATGACCTCCTAACTATGCCCCTGTCCACAAGCTCAAATGGTCTCACGAAAACCATTTAATAACCAAGGGGGGTGAGGTACTCATCCTCTCTTCTCCGTCGGGAACTTGAAATCATTAAAATCACCCCTAGCCAATCAAGAAAAATGACATTCAAGACTTAAAGCTAAAAGCATCTCCTATGACTCCCATCATCTCCTATGTATTTATAGTATATAGTTGTAAATTTCATATAAATATATGTATTCTTCTTTAAATTTTTTATTATAGAAACAATGAATACGTAAATATTAATGAAGCTCTAAATCTATTCATTACCACTGGATCTATTGCATAATTCTCGGCAATGGCATCACTACTGGATCTATTCACCATCTATACATATTTAAATAAAATAAAATGTGTTTGGACTTTCCAAATATATCTTGTTTTATGTCAAATTAAACAAAAAGTAAGTGGTAAAATATTTGTCGATCACATACTGGATCGATTTTCTTTTTGTAGAAATGTAAATCTCTTACTGGCAGAAAAAGGAAATGAGAACGTTCTTTTCAAGAGGGAAGTAGTATCATTAGTATGTAACTTACTCCTACGTATGTTTTATGCAATTAAGTTAGATTTTGGAATTGGGCATTATAAACATAAACAAATCAAATAAGGAGTATGATACATACTCCGTACAATTCAAATACCTTATATGTAATCAAACATTCAAACAAATTCAATTTATCTCTTCAATTGGAATCGAAGCTCCTATATCATAGAATTGAAGCAGTATAAATATGCTCCGTTATTAGCTTGCGCACAAATTCATTACTCAGCTTCGACGATTGGGGAGTGTTTATGTAAATATATGATGACGGCGATAGAATAACAAAGCAGTATGAGTGCCACGGGGGCTACAATGGATACAATAATGATCGTAAAATGGTGAGATGCGTGTAAGTACTTAACCGCAAACCAGAGAAACCCGAGGGCCTGGAAAAATAAATTCACCAGAAGAACACAGTGCAGCAATTCCAAGCGAATCGGAGCGACAAGAGGCGGATCTGAGTACTGCGCACGGCGAGGCCAGAATAGAAGTACCGAAAGCAAGGGGGTAGCGGATGAGGACGTCAAAGGAAAAGTAGTATGAGCAAATAATGTCCGAATTACTATACCAAGTGGCAGAATTAACACATAGAGAACGAATACGATAAAGATAATATCCGGCCAATCTTTATTATGAGTTCGAAGAATAAGTCCAAGCAGCATCCACAGGTCCCACACCAGGGAGGCAACCACTATGCCCCCTACAACACTTGCACCAATACCCAAACAACAACGCCTTGCCCAATTCGCAGGCTCCATTTTTATTCACCAACGTGATTAGTAGTTATATATCGTTCGATGAAAATATATAAAATTGTCCCTAGCTAGCTAGTTAGGTACTAATTATCATTATTAACTTGGTGGATCGTATAGCTTTTGCCCGCATCATATATACGAGGTTTAAACTGCCAAATATACCTATCTAATTAAATAAAATAAAAAAGATACGTACAAATGCCATTCACATTAATGATATATATGCCCATGCATGGAGAATATTTTGTAATACATAGCAATAATTATGTTTGTATGTAACTACGAATTAATGATCTTTTAATCAAGGGCGGAGTCAGGAGACTGAACGGTACAAATAATATTTTTGGGAAAAAATTATACAGAATTTTTGTACTAAAAATATAGACACTTCTAAATTTTGGGTTGTGTCGAGGCCAAGGTTGCGCCCCCTAGCCAAGGCCCCTGTCATTAATACAATGTTGTTAATGGATGTTTTTATTTGGAATTTGCTGGTCTGGTCTAATTTGCTCTGCTGGTCTGGTTTCTTTGTATTTTTATAAGTATCCAATTGGAGTCTGGTCTGATCGAAGCACCGGCGCTTCCTCTTCTCGGTCAAGGTGGGGAGAAGATCCTCGTATGGCCCAAATGCAGCGTGAACTGGAGGAGCACGAACGGCGATGGGAGGAGCAGCGGAAAAGAGAGGAAGAAACAAAAGCCCGGCTGGAGGAGATGGAACGGTTCATGCGTGCCAGATTTCAGCCTCCGCATCAGCCTTTTCCTACCCCGTACGTATTCCACCCTGAGCAAACTCCTCAAGTTCCGCACATGGGCGGTATGGATTTTTTCTCCAACTCCGGATACGGTGGCATGCCTATAATCTCCCCGAATTTCGGATCTATGTCCTTTGATTTTGTGAGGTCATCCGGAGGAGGTAGTGGTACACCAAGCCATGGAGCCCGAGGAGGACCCTGAGGAGTACCCCGAGGAGGAACCCGACCCGATGACCCCGTGCAGCAGCCCGAAGACCCCCCCCCCCCCCCCCCCCCCCACCTCAAAAGTATTGAATGCTAGATAAAGAGTAGAGTTTAAACTATTGAAGGTAAGTTTGTCGACCTTTTATAATGAAATAAATATGAACATTTATACTACAAGATGAGATGA